GTCTGTTTAGTTCTTTGGCCCACTATTTGATTGGGTTGTTTATTTTTCTGGAATTGAGCTGCAGGAGCTGCTTGTATATTTTGAGATTCTTTGTCAGTTGCTTCATTTGTTATTATTTTCTCCCATTCTGAAGGCTGTCTTTTCACCTTGCTTATAGTTTCCTTTGTTGTGCAAAAGCTTTTAAGTTTAATTAGGTCCCATTTGTTTATTTTTGCTTTTATTTCCAATATTCTGGGAGGTGGGTCATAGAGGATCCTGCTATGATTTATGTCAGAGAGTGTTTTGCCTATGTTTTCCTCTAGGAGTTTTATAGTTTCTGGTCTTACATTTAGATCTTTAATCCATTTTGAGTTTATTTTTGTGTATGGCGTTAGAAAGTGTTCTAGTTTCATTCTTTTACAAGTGGTTGACCAGTTTTCGCAGCACCACTTGTTAAAGAGATTGTCTTTTCTCCATTGCATATTCTTGCCTCCTTTGTCAAAGATAAGGTGTCCATAGGTGCATGGATTTATCTCTGGGCTTTCTATTTTGTTCCATTGATCTATATTTCTGTCTTTGTGCCAGTACCATTCTGTCTTGATGACTGTAGATAGGCTGATTCCTCCAGTTCCATTCTTCTTTCTCAAGATTGCTTTGGCTATTCAAGGTTTTTTGTATTTCCATACAAACTGTGAAATTATTTGTTCTAGTTCTCTGAAAAATACCATTGGTAGCTTGATAGGGATTGCATTGAATCTATAGATTGTTTTGGATAGTATGCTAATTTTCACCATATTGATTCTTCCAATCAATGAACATGATGTATTTCTCCATCTATTTATGTCATCTTTGATTTCTTTCATCAGTGTTTTATAGTTTTCTATATATAGGTCTTTTGGCCCCACCTGGTGGCTCAGAGGGTAAAGCGTCTGCCTACAATGCAGGAGACCCAGGTTCAATCCCTGGGTCAGGAAGATCCTCTGGAGAAGGAAATGGCAACCTACTCCAGTACTCTTGCCTGGAAAATCCCATGGATGCATGGAGTAGCCTGGTAGGCTACAGTCCACAGGGTCGCAAAGAGTCGAACATGACTGAGCGACTTCACTTTCACTTTCACTTTCATATATAGGTCTTTTGTTTCTTTAGGTAGATTTATTCCTAAGTATTTTATTCTTTTCATTGCAATGGTGAATGGAATTGTTTCCTTAATTTCTCTTTCTGTTTTCTCATTGTTAGTGTATAGGAATGCAAGGGGTTCCTGTGTGTTAATTTTATATCCTGCAACTTTACTATATTCATCAATTATCTCTAGTAATTTTCTGGTGGAGTCTAGGATTTTCTATGTAGAGGATAATGTCATCTGCAAACAATGAGAGCTTTACTTCTTCCTTTCCAATCTAGATTCGTTTTATTTATTTTTCTTCCCTGATTACAAACATTTTAGTAAATAAATCATGTTGAAAAACTTGATGACCATGCATCCTCAAATATCAATTTTCATGATGGAAGAAGTGATGTTATCATTTAAAAGACAAAAACACTTCCACCTTACAGAAATGATGCTGAGAAAATGAGCAAGGTAGATTAATAACCCCCTTAGAAAAACCTCTCTTTGTTAGTAAACAATATGTGGTCGTTAGTAAATTGTTAGTGAGAGTCCATCTCATTGGAGATTGTTCCAAACCAATATTAGAAAAAAAAAGGTAAATGCCTGATCTAAATTCATACATACCTATGTGCATATGCACACACATGCAAGTAATAAAAACAAAGGGATTCAGAAGATTAGGTCATCTCTAAAAGAAGCAAGACAATTTCAACTGTCATGTCAATTTTTAGAGACATCTAGTAAACACAGTTTGAAATATTTTAAAGGACTAGATGGAGATGAATCTTCTAGAAGTTTGGCATTTCACCATTTGCACCACAGTTTCCTGGGCCCTGCTCTCCATGATATTTACTTATTACTACCAGGCTAGAAGCACAGAGCTTGCCCCAGAAGAGAAAGCCTTTTACCAAAGAACAAAATGAAATAATATTTTCAAGCCAGAATGAATCCATAGGGAAAAGAAAGAACCATCATAAGGTAACTCTGATATTAACACATAAGAGAGTTCAAAACTTGCAAACAGACCCAAATAATGAATAAAATTGAATGTAAAAGAATAAAAGATAAACAAAAACTTCATACTTTAGCTAAACTGATGATGCTGAGTGTTGGCACCATCATGAAGGTAACCAGACCAAAGGACAAAATAAACATCTACTCTAAAAATAACATAAGATGATCATCCACTATTGGAGAAACAGGGTCCCAAAGGCCAATAATGGACTCCCAATGGAAGGGAACATTTGGGATATGATTAATAATCTTCCCTCATAAATACTCAGCTTTAAAACTCATAGGAGACTATATCCCTTAGGAGAAATAAAACATAGTTTCAGATAAGTCTCTGTTTTTCAGCAAATATGCCAGTTTCTTTCCAAACCAGTATTAGTGTCCAGCAAGGTTAACCAGCTCTCTGGGCTGTTGGCTGCCGAACAAGTCATGCCCTCCATCTTACATGACTTTTGCTGCAGCAAAAACAGAAGTCAGACCCTTGAGTTCTACAAGAAGATGGGTTCAGAAGAGGTAATATAAGACAACTCTTAGATGTTCATTTTAGCTCTGCCTTCTTTTGTGTGGCATGAAAATAATAGAATCTCAGGTTTATAAATTAATATAAGCAGATTCATCCTTGCAGCTAAGAAGTCTGGGAATCAGAGAAATGAGGTAGATAAGAACAAGGTAAGAGCTCCACTGTGTATAAATTCTTTTCTTATTAACCAGGAGTTAGTTGTACCCAGTCAAAACCAGGTCTTTGGGGGAACAAAGATGTTAGCAAAGTGACATCTGGAAATAACTGACAAAGCAGCTATGAGGAACAGGGCAGAAGAAGAAAAAAAAAAACTTAAGCCTTCCCTATTTTAAGTTATGTTTGGCTCTACCACAGAGAAAATGATGGCCCACTGCCTCTGCAATGAGGAAGAGCAAGGCAATGACTGAACAGTCCAATTGGTGAATTCACTTCCATATAGTTTACAAATCCAATGGAATCCCCATACACATCAGTACCAAATATTTCTTGCTGCTTTCTCTTTCCTCGTGGTTACTTTGGCTTCTGGGTAACTCTCAGTTTCTCCTACAGAGGAATTATTCACAGCTTTGCTCTGCCATATATGATCTATTCACAGACTGAAGAGGAAACTTGCAGTGAAGTGTGATACAAAAAATTTTTCCTCTTATCTGTTATGTCACTAGTTGCAATCATCAAGATCATCCTTAAAGCTATAACATTATGTGATCTGGAAAGTATTACATTTTATCATGAATACATTAATAAATATTCTTAGCTAGAATACTGTTATTGAAGGTTTCTAGGTTTGTATTCTGCACTTATATTTTCCTGAATAAGTATCATCACTCAATCATGTCACTTGGGTCATTTTCAAACAAATGATAACTGTCCCTCAATAACAGAGGGGATCCAGAAAATGAAATAATAAATTAAGACCAAATGACTGGCAACAGAATCTCAGGTGATTTCAGTGGCTTTGTTTTTGCTTCTCTCACCATAGAGATCACACAGAGTTCAAGACTGTCTCACTCAGAGTCAGAGAAAGAAGCTTTAACAAAGATTATTAATCAACTTACCAAAACAACTCTAACCTTCCATATCTGTAATTGAATGGGGACAAGAGGAGAGAGTAGAAGTCAGTGGAATCCATGTCCAGAGGGCACTTATGACTCCCATCACTGACCTTGGTTCCTAGAGGTCTCTGCTTATGGGTATCTGATATTTATGATCCTCTGCATCTAACCATAAACTAGAAGAATAACAAGTTTTCTAAGAATCCTGACATCTCAGGCAAAAATCTCAAAAGTCTGTGATATACCAGAACTTCTATAGTTTTTCTGGTTTCAACCTAAACCAAGATTTTACAGAAGTATTAAAACATCTAGTAAAAGGACTATTATGTAGATGTCTACACTTTCCATATCTTTTTGTGTTAAAAAACCATGATGGCACTGAAGAAATGATGGCACATGACATTTCTTGTCTGGGTTATCAGAACACCTTAGGAGGCTGACACGTATACTTCTAACATTGATCCAGAATAAAAATGAAATGCACAAAATGTTAATGTGTTACTTGTTACCTTTCTCCTTGATGCCTAGTATTATGACTCTAATTTCAAATAAACACAGAATTGAAATTCTATGTCTAATATTAAGGGTCTATGTATCTTATTCTATAGATACAAATAAAAAATACCTATTTATATTTGCAAGTATTGTCATTAATATTCTCCAAACTGCTTTTTTGGAGTTTTGCTGGGTCTAAGAAAATACTGAAAGAGGAATGAGAAAGTGAAAAATTCAAAGTCTTATCATATCTAGCATTCTCAAATTTTGACAGTCTTCAGCAGCATATTTACATTATTTACTTAATACAGTAATAGAATCTGAGGGACTTACAGATCTCTAAAAGGAAATATTCCTGAAGATTAGAAAGTAAGGTCATCTTTGTCACTGTCATTTTTTTCCTCTCCACCTCTTAGGAAGGCATGAATGTGTCGGGAGTCAACACGGTGACTGAATTCATACTCCTGAGTTTTCCCTGCTCTAGAGAGGTTCAAGTCCTCCTCTTCGTGCTCTTCTCTGTGTCCTACATCCTGACACTGATGGGGAATGGGGCCATTGTCTTTGCGGTGAAGCTGGATCACAGACTCCACACTCCCATGTACACTCTGTTGGCCAACTTCTCGTTCCTGGAGATGTGTTACATCAACACCACCGTTCCCACTATGTTAAGGAACTTCCTGTCTGAGACCAAAACCATCTCTTTCACTGCCTGCTTCCTCCAGTTCTACTTCTTCTTCTCCATGGGCATTACTGAGACCTTCTTGCTGCCCCTCATGGCTTTTGATCGATACTTGGCCATCTGCCGACCTCTCCACTATCCTACCATCATGAGCAGCCGTCTCTGCATCAACTTGGTTGGCCTCTGCTGGGTTACAGCCTTCCTCTGCTATCCAGTCCCTATCTATTTCATCACTCAACTCCCCTTTTGTGGCCCCAATACCATTGACCATTTTGTCTGTGACCCTGGTCCCCTTCTGGCCCTGTCCTGCATCCCTGCCCCTGGAATTGAGCTTTCCTGTTCTATATTGAGCTCTCTTATTATCTTTAGCACCTTCTTTTTCATTCTTGGGTCTTACACCCTGGTTCTCAGAGCAGTGTTGCGTGTCCCTTCAGCCGCTGGCAGACGTAAGGCCTTCTCCACCTGTGGTTCCCACCTGGCTGTGGTATCTCTGTTCTATGGAACCATCATGATGATGTACATCAGCCCAACCTCTGGAAATCCAGCTGGGATACAGAAGATTGTAACCTTGCTGTACTCAGCAGTGACCCCACTTGTAAACCCGCTGATCTACAGTCTCCGGAACAAGGACATGAAGATTGCCTTGAGAAAAATTCAGATGTTTACAAAAACTGGCCAAAGCAAACAAGAGCTCATGAGTGGACCAAGATCATAATATTTATTTTTTCCTTCATGTTGTTCTCCATAGTGGCTGTACCAGTTCACATTCCCACCAACAGTGTACAAGGGTTTACTTTTCTCCACACCCTCTCCAACATTTATTATTTGCAGAATTTTTTGATGATGACCATCAAAATAACCTATTCCAAATTAAAAAGTAGATCTCTACTTACTGGCACCTAGAAATACAGACCCAAATTCATCTACTTCTGCCTAGACAATATGGACAATAGTACAACCGATTAAACCAGACCTTATCTTCAAAATAGGACCTGATAGACAGTAACTTGAATTAAATGACCTGAATCGGAACTTTAAACGCTTCTCCTATCCTGACTGCCACTAAATACTTTCCCTTTATCTGAGATCACTCCCCTCTATTGTGTGCAAATTCTTACATTTGGTTTCTATCATAACTAAGCCAAAATTTTTATTTAATCAATACCCCAAAAATTACTAATGATCTTAAGTACTATGTCATAGTTATTTAGAGAACTCTTTAAAAGAATAGCTTCCCAGGTCTTTCTCCAAATCCCCTAATTCAGAATATAAAATTAACCCCAGAAATTCCCATTTTAATGTGATTCTGGTGTACCTAGACCAGCACCAGTTCACACACTGACCTTACAGAGCCACTATTTTTTAAAAAATACATGACACATGGTGAGAAATAAAAATCTTACAATAATTGATTGGGAAAGTGAAACGAGTTATGATGAGTAGTACAGGTGATTCAAACACTCATGACAGCAGCAGTGGAAGCTTCTCTTGCCTCTATTCCCAAATTCTCCATTTATAGAATAAGAAATGTAGTACAGTCTTCTTACTTTTTCCTACCTGTGAAAGATAATTAAGATACCTAGAAATGGGTTTACCTAAATTAAGATACCTAAAATGGGTTTTTAAAAATTAGCATGTAGTGACAATATATCAATACCTTGGGGTTAGTTTCGAGAGAAGGAGGTTTGAGTTGAGCACACAGCTCAAAATAGGTAAAAGCAGACAGAGAGTAAAAGCCAGTGATTCTGAGATATGAGACAGCTGTAGGTGATTTGGCTCAACTATTTGGTCATAAATATATTAGTCAAGTTGTCCTCTGGGGTTGATGCATTTCATTCAGGCATTCAGAATGCAGAAGATCAAGCCCCTGCCTTTGTGAAGCTTACATTGTAGTGAAGGAGATAGATAAGAAGAAGCTGAACACATAAATCTCACTAATTATAACTACTAATTCCAGTAGTTTGAAAAATTTGTAACTATATGTGGTAATGGATATTAACTACAATTAGACTTATTGAAGTAACAGTTTCACCATATTTACATATATTGAATAATGTCGTACACCTGAAATTAATGGTTTATATCAATTATATCTCAATAAAACAAAAAGAATAAATGAGAACTCTACTTTTAGTTTTTCAATTTACCTCCATACTGTTCTCCAGAATAGCTGTGCCAGTTTACATTCCCACCAACAGTGTAGAAGGGTTCCCTCTTCTCCAAACCCTCTCCAGCCCTTATTGTTTATAGATTTTTTGACGGCGAGGATTATGATCTGTTGAGATGATACCTCATTGTAGTTTTGATTTGAATTTCTCTAATAATTAGTGATGTTGAGCATCTTTCCATGTGCTTTTTGGTCATTTGCATATTTTCTTTGGATAAATATCTATTTACATCTCCTGTCCACTTTTTGATTGGGTTATTTATTGGGTTTTTTTGTTGTAGTTGTTATTGAGCTACATGAGTTGCTTCTATATTTTGGAGATTAATCCCTTGCCGGCCACTTCATTTGCAAATATTTTCTCCCCTTCTGTGGGTTGTCCTTTTGTTTTGTTTATGGTTTGATTTGCTGTACAAAAGCTTTTAAGTTTAATTAGGTTCCATATGTTTATTTTTATTTTCACTACTCTGGTAGGTAGGTCAAAGTTATTTATACCAGAGATCGTTCTGCCTATGTGTTCCTCTACAATTTTTATAATAAAATAGAGCTATCATATCATCCAACAACCCCACTCCTGGGCATATATCCAGAGAAAACCATAATTTGAAAAGATACATGAACCCCAATGTTCCCTACAGCACTTTTACAATAGCCAGGACATGGAGCCACCTAAATGTCCATTGATGGGTGAATGGATAAAGAAGATGTGGTACACATACACAATAGAATGTTACTCAGCTATAAAAGAGAATTAAATAATGCCATTTGCAGCAACATAGATGGTCCTAGAGATTGTCATACTGAGTGAAAGTCAGACAAAGAAAGACAAATATCATAGGATATCACTTGTATGTGGAATTTTTTTTAAATGCTACAAATGAACTTATTTACAAAAAAGAAATAGAATTACAATCCTAGGGTTACCAGGGAGGAAAAAGGGAAGGGATAAATTGAGAGACTGGGATTGACAAATACGCACTACAATATAGAAAATAGATACCTAATAAGTACCTACTGTACAGCACAGGGAACTCTACTCAGTACTAATTAATGACTTTATGGAAAAAGAGTCTAAAAAAGAGTGGATATATGTATATGCATAACTGATTCACTGTGATGTACAGCAGAAAGTAATACAACATTGTAAATTAACTATGCTCCAACCAAAAAAAGATGCTATCCTTGAAACACCAAAAAAAAAAGGAATATATGGGAGTATGAATACAGAAATTGTTGGGGTAGAATAGGGCATGGTTTAGATCAAAATGAGATCTAAATCTCATTAGAGATTGTCTTTGTTAGACAATGTTAGAAAATGTCTTTGTTAGGAGGTGATATTTCAAACTCAGATAATATATCATGCAAAGATCTAGGACAATAAAATCCCATGTAAGTACAGGTAGAAGCTTGTGATTTTCAAAGAATAAGAAAAGTTGATTTTGCTAGCTGGAAGGAAAATGACATAAGAGGCTGGAGAAGCAGGCAGCATCAAATCATTTAGAAACTTCTAGCCCACAATAAAAAGTTTTCATATGAACTCCTGGGGAAGCCTGCTCAATACAATATACTAAGAGGAAGGCAAAAAAAATCTCTCCTTAGAAAAATCCATATCTTCATAAGCTCTTCTTATATTGAAACTACTTTTTTACTTACATGTTTATTTATATATTCCTTTATCATACTATATTCCACTTTTTTCTTTAAGAATCTGCAGTATTAAAGTTCACTAAAAGAAAGAATAAGAAAAATATGAATTTAAAAAATAAAAACAGAATGATGATTTGTGGATAATAGGATAAATGCTGACACTAAGTCAAGCCTGTAAAAGTGTTATGAGCTCCCTCTAAAATGAAATGGGAAATCATCAAAAAGGATCTTCAGTGTTGAAGTTTTTTCAAGTGTTGTTATGATTCTCTATAAAATGTTTCTTTGATTCAAAAAATGAAGAATGGAGAAACATTATCTGTCATATGATTTTCAATAACTGTAAGAAGAAACAAATCTGTTTACAAGGAAAACTAAATTACTGACTCCTAGTTCCATAATTTCTTTCAAGATGATTCATACGAGGGAGAATGAGATATACTGAACAGTGGTTGCCCAACATATCTGACATATATACATATAGTTTAACACAGCTGCTTCTTAATAGCATTTCTTAATAAGATTCAAAGGCATTATATAGAAATATAACTCAGTGGAAACAATTCTTTCCAGATCTAAGAACTGAGGTCCAAATATCTGCTTTCTGATAATCTGCCTTAATCCAAAATCTGACCTTCAGCTCACACTGGTTAGAGTGGCCACCATCAAAAAGTCTACAAACAATAAATGCTGGAGAAGTTGGGGGGGGGGGTGGGCGGGGAGGAAGCCTCCTACACTGTTGGTGAGAATCTAAATTGGTGCAGCCACTCTGGAGAACAGTATGGAAATTCCTTAAAAAAACTAAAAATAGAGTTACCATATGATCCAATGATCCCACTCCTGGGCATATATCTGGAGAAAACCCTAATTTGAAAAGATACATGCAGCCCAATATTCATAGCAGCACTACTTACAACAGCCAAGACAATGGAAGCAACCTAAATGTCCATTGAGATGAGTGGATAAAGATGTGATACACATATACAATGGAATATTACTCAGACATAAAAACAATGAAATAATACCATTTGCAGCAACATAGGTGGATCAAGACATCATCATACTAAGCAAGTAAAAAAGAGAAAGACAAATACCATATATCGTTTTTTTCCATTTATTTTTATTAGTTGGAGGCTAATTACACTATTGTAGTGGTTTTTGCCTTACGTTTATATATGGAATCTAAAAAGTGATACAATTGAACTTACTTATATAAATAGCTTCACAGACATAGAAGACAAACTTATGGTTACCAAAGGGGATACTGTACAGCATAAAGAACAATATTCAGTATTTTATCATAACTTATAATGGAAAAAAATCTGAAAAGGGAAAATCTGTATATATGTGTATGTATATATACATATGTATGTATTACTGAATCACTTTGCTATATATCTAAAACTAATAGCAGTATTGTAAGTCAATTACACTTCAATTAAAAAATAATCTATTATAGGATTGGTGCTTTGGTTGACTGATTTGAGAGGGGATCTAAGGAAGTGGTGGTCTACTCCAGATTGTAAGTTGTCAATGCAAGGGCAATTCTAAGACTAGGTATCTCAACAAATCTTATCTATATAGAGGGCAGAGAAGAAGGAAATTAAAGCTGTA